AACTTTCTTTCAAATCAGTTTTGTCATCAAATTGTTCTGCCTTCGCAAATTATCTTATTCTGATATTTTTTGTTTTTGGTTTGCTTTTAAATTAACTCATGACAAACTGAAACACAGTATCTAAACAAAATGAATACTATATTGTATTAATTTTGCAAAAAAACTTTTAAATTATCAGAAAATTTTGATGAAAAAAGTAAATCTTCTGTTTTTATTTTTTTAATGGATTTGCTTTTCTTTGTTTTAATGTTTTTGTTTTTAATTATTCTTATTTTAGGTAAATTTTATAAAGCGTGTTTCTAACATTTTTGGTTGAGACACATTGACGCAAAATGTCACTAACTGTCAGAAGTGTTAGATTGATTGAAATTTTTGCACTTTTAGGCCTGTTTTTTTCTATAAAACTCTACTATTTTGAAGAATTATGAATGAATTATGGTTTTTTACTTTTACTCAAACTCTACCTTTCACCGTTTTCTACTTTTAGTGCGTCAAAAATTTCCAATAATCTCCAGGAATAAGCAATTGCTATCGCGTTTTAAATGTAAAACGTCAAAAACGCCTTATTTTATGTAATAAATCACGCTTTTTACTTTCCTTATAGATAAGAGTTAAAAAATTGAAATTTGGTTTATAGAAAGGGGACGCAGCACAAAACAATTGGTCGCACCGTTCGGCCGCAAAATTATACGGTTGAAAATACAATAAATTCATAGGGATACAAATTATTTAGAATCATGAAATATACTTTATTAAACAGTAAAATGTGATAAAATGAAAATAATAATGGGGACTAAACTAAAAAAAAAATTGCACCTCAACACTAAACACTAAATTATTGTAGTAAGAATGTTTTCCAAATAAGTGTGATAAGGAAAGTCGTGTGATGTTCTTACAGTCATAATGAAAGTATTATGAAATTTTGCCCATTTCTAAACCAATCTAGCGGCACCCTTTTTCTCCAATAAAACAAATGAAAGCTATTCGAAAAAGCTGCTTTCCCGTCGTTGACCCTAGACCGGGTGTGGACCCCCAATCGCGCGATCCTCTCCTCTAGATAAACACCTATCTATCAAGCATCAGACGAAATTATTAATGAGATGACCTTGACTTCCTCCACGTTTCGTACAGGAAACGACAACAATACCCCCCAATCCTTATCAAAAATCAACTAAATCCTTTCGATTTTTTCGTCTCGGACAGCAGGACGTCCTACTAAAGCACCCATTGTGTTGTTCCATCGACAGGTCCGGACGCGCCCATTCTACCCGAAAAACGACAACAAACGACACATTTCAAGCATTCCGGCTCTTTAAAACGCGACCAAGCCCAGATCTACTGATAAAGAAACGACAGTCGACCAAATGGGTCAAACCAATGACTCAATGGGTTTGTTTTGAAAGATCCAAATGGACCACTGTCAACTTATATGCCACCGGAGAGATAAGCCACAGTAGCTGAAACGATTCTTTCAGTTTTTTTTTTCATAATTGTGACAAGTAACACGTGTTCGTGAAACTATGAGAAACAGGGCCGTACCCAAGGGAGGGGGTTAGGGGGTTCAAACCCCCCGAAATGCTGAGCACTTTGTTATACAGTGTTATAAGTAAGGCTCGGATTATATGCAAAAAATTATATTAAAAAATATGCTCCAATATATGCCAAATATGCATCGATATGCAAAATTTTTAACAATAATAAATCAGAGTTGGAATAAATTTTTATCCTCGAATACACTAAACTTAGTATTTTCGTCATCTTGAACGATAAATGAAAGAATAAATAAATTAGTTTGGCGTGAGACAAGCCATTTTAATAACCTAGTAATTAACCCTTTCTAAAAAATCTGTACTTTTCAGATCACATCACGTTTTTTGCTTAAAGTATTTATTATTTGAAAAAACTAATTGATGAATTATAAAGTTCTATAGAAATGTGATGTTTTATCAAAAATAAAACTTTTCAAAATTTTTATTTTTTTTGTTTTTGAGTTCTACAAACATATTTATTTTTTTAAATGGCAACCCACCAAAAAAAAAACATTTTTCTCATGAAGGTCAAGATCTAAGAGATTACAACTATCTATTTTATATTAAAAAAAAAACAAAAATCGAATAACTCAAAAACAAAACAAAAGTTTGTTCTTAAAAAAATATTTTTTTATATTACTTTAATTTATATTAATTATTATTTTTTGGAAACAAATGATTTAAAAAAAAAAAAACCGCTTGGTTGAATACTTTATATTTACCCAGTAAAAAACGAATTTAAAAAGGAAACACTCAGCAGGATACTAATTTTATGATAAAATACTTTGTAATCGAATTATTTTTCGTAAACTGTCCAATTTTTATCTTGAACTGAATTTTTTAATCGAAAATTAGTGATTTGAAGAAAATATGCACAAATATGCAATATTTCTAAAAATTTGCACCAAGTTGCCAAAATATACAAAATATACATTTTTTAACGGGCTTCTTTTAATCAAAAAACATAAGATATGCATAGAAAACTTACAATTTTGTTGATATACCTCTTAATGACAAATATGCATTTTGCAAATAATCCGAGCCTTAGTTATAGGTAAGTGTTAAAAATTTAGTTTTTTTGTTATTTTAGTGAGTTACTTTAAATTAATTTTTCATGTGTTAATTATACAGTGTTTTATTTTTATTGTTAGGTACAAATTTAAATACTTGATAGAATATTTAATTTTAAGACAAAAGTGTTTCGAAAAATGCTGTGAAAGGGAGCTACACTCCCCTAAAAAGGTCGTTTTTTAAAGGGTTTTTCCTAATATTTCAGAAAAGATAAAATTACAAAATTTGGTACCTTTATATGTACACCTAAACAAATGCCAAATAACAAAATTTTTAATCAGGGGCGTCCTAAACGGTAAAACAAATTTAATTTGTAATTTTTATGCTGTTTATGGTTTGTAACATAAATTTCTAAACCGATTTTTACTAAAAATCCGTAAATTGTATCGGAAAAACACAAAATACCTTTTTTATGAAAAACTATGAAATTTTGTTGCTGAAAGTGGCAAGAAACCACAGACAAAATAGAGTAAATTTTTACCCTAATCCCATCTAGTTTAGGAAGCCCCTAATTAAAAATGTCAACATTTTATTTTTGTACTTGTTTAGGTGTATAAAAGTTATCATCTGTACCAAATTTTGAATTTTTTTTTTAAAATGATTTCGGAATTATTGAAAAAAAAAACTATTAAAAGACGCACCCCTTGCGTAGCATTTTTCGATATATGTACATAGAAAATTTTTGTTTTAAAAATGAATATTCTCCTGTTTAAATTAGTAACAATAAAAAGTATTAAAAATTTATTTTATTTTTTGTTATTTTTGTGAGTTAATTTGTATTTTTTATGTTTAATTGGGATCTCTTATTTCAATTTAAAATAAAAACGTGTACTTAGAGATTTTTGATTTTTAATCTGCCTTCTTTCATCTTATTTTCATGGACCAACAAGAAACCCCCCTTGAAATACAATATTTTACTAAATAAAAGTTTAAGTGTTGATTTTCCGAGTTTTCCGGGAGGAAAGCGTCCGTGGAATGCCCGGCTTCAAACCGGTCGAGGGTTTAAGTCCCGGCTTATTGACTGTCAACGGGTTTAGAACCCTTCCACGCGCCGAATTTACGTGCGAGATCGAAATTCTCTCCATTAAACCGTCACAAAAAAAAATAACAAAAACGTTAATTTTTCGAAAAACAACCGTTATCTTCGAGTGGGCCAAAGAGGTCATCATTCATCCGGCGATGACTGATGCCTGTCTATTTGTTACACGTCAAGAGTGCCAAGATTGGTTGCACCCCGCTGCTAAGAAGTCGTCAGGGCCTACTGCGATATAGCCTTCATACGAAACAAAGGAACGTCGCATCCCGAAATTTTTTTTTGCCATCCCGGAATTTTTATTACCAAACACGGGAGAGTTAATAACTTTGAGTTCGCCAAGGATCATCATTCATGGGACGCGACACGCCCACTTCTCTGTTTCAACGTTCATCTGTTTTCAAGGCATACCACAAACATGACAAAACTAGATTCAAAATTTGATGGTTTTTGGATCGTTTCAGGCGAAAATAATGCGATTTAGCTCAATAAAACGTAAAATTGACACTTACCGTTGATTTTTTCTCATTTTTTTTTCTCAAATTTTGTTACTAGTGGTAGAAGCCATCTATATTGTTTGTGGTTTCTGTGCGATTTTTCCGGTGCCCGGCCGTCTTGATTCAAACCATGAGAGATAATGACCAAACTCCCCGACGTTCTTCTGTTTTCGTCCCAGCACCGCCTCTGCTTCTTTATAATAGACGGTTCGATGGCAGACCTGTAATTAGTAGGCTATGAATATTTTTGAGCTTATTAGATTAGAGGTGGGGCGAGGCTTGATTACAAAAACACTTTTTTCATCAGCGTGGGCGAAAAAAATTCTTTTTGTTTTCAAAGAAAATATTTGGTGGCACGAGTTGTATAAAATTTTTTTTCTTCTCTCCTTCTGGATATTTCGTTTTTAGGGATAATAGTAGGTTGTCAAAGGAGGTAGGTTGGCATGTCTGTGATTATAGTGGTTTGAAGTTGGCACGCGCTCACGCTATGCGATTTTGTCGTAACAACTGGATCTCCGATTACGTAAACCGGAAGTTGAAAGTTGACTTTTACACGATTTTTTCAGCGATTGCGTGATGAAAATTGTGGGAAGAGCCGCTCTGTTATTATCGGGACGTAATTTGATAACGAGAGAAGCCACCTAAATATATTTGAAACGCTCAAAAACTTCATAATATTTCATTTTCGTAAAAATGAACCAAAAAATTGTTCACTGTCATAGTGAATAAATAGATTAATAATAATAATATTAAACTATTAGATTAATAATGAGATTTCTTGACATAATAAAGTGAAATTAATCTCAAAAATGTCACATTTGTTTTTTGTGGTGATCCAAGCCCGTAGCTAGGGAGGGGCCAAGTAGGGCTGAGCCCTACTTTAAAACTTTGTCTTTTTAAACAACTTTCTTTAGAAATAATAACGCATAGAATTATAATACAGACTGAACCAAAAGTAATGCAAAAAATTCATATCTTTGAGTCATTTTTCAAAAAAAATCCTTGAACAGGTCGATTTAATTTTTTCAAATACTACATTTTGACCCTGTCAAATTAATAATAAATAAATTAATTAATTAATAAAAATTAGTACCCTGCTGAGTGTTTCCTTTTTAAATTGTATTGAACCAAGCGTTTTTTTTAATCATTTGTTTCCAAAAAATAATAATTAATATGAATTAAAGTAATATATAAAATGATGTTATTTTAAGAATAAAATTTTGTTTTGTTTTGAGTTATTCGATTTTTGCTGTCTAAATTGCGATATATGTAAAAAAATAATTTAATACAAAGTAGATAGTTGTAATCCCTTAGATGATAACCTTCATGAAAAAAATGTTTTTTTGGTGGGTTCCCATTTAAAAAAAATTAATATTTTTGTAAAAATAACAAAAATTTTGAAGAAATTTTATTTTTGATAAAACATCACATTTTTATAGAACTCTATAATTCATCAATTAGTTTTTTCAAAATATAAACACGTTTGCTTTTTATTGTTCAAAATTTTGCATATCGATGCCTATTTGACATATATTGGAGCATATTTTTGTGAAAATACGTGCATATTTTACGATTTTTTCGTTCATATAATCCGAGCCTTATTTATGACGTTGTTAGTTTTCGAGTATTGACGTCATTTTTATTTTTTTTAAATGTCAACCGACATTTTTTATTACTCTTTTAGATAGTACACATCGTTATCTTTCTGGTAAGCATAAAAAAATTCCAAGAAATAAAGCAAAAAAATGCAAAAAAGAAGAAAACAAAATTAAAAAACTTAGAAAGTTTTATACAAACAGCTTTATTGTTGTTGCTTTATTTTTGTTGTTTTATTTTATAAGGGGTGATTGTTTTTTGTTTTTATTTTTTTGTTTTTCATACGAAATGTTTTCATGCTATTATTTTAAAAAATATACAAAAACAAATGAAATAAGGCAGAAACAAAAAGATAAAGCCTTTTGTGTAGAATTGCCAATATTTTTTTATTTTTTTTAATTTATTTTTTTAAAGTTTTAATTTATTTTTTTTAGTTTTATTTCGTTATTACCGAAAAGATAAAGATGTGTGCTATTTAAAACAGTGAACAAAAATGCCAATTGCCATAAAAAAAATTAAAAATGACGTCACAACTCAAAAGCGAATGACGTTATAAATATCACTATAATGTCAAAATATAGTATTTAAAAAAATAAAATTGACCTGTTCAAGGATTTTTTTGAAAAACGACTACCAACAAAGATATAATTTTGTGCGTTATTTTTGGTTCATTCTGTATTAGCAATATTGCAATTGAATAAAATTTAGGCTAAAATGGAGGTACTTTTGTTTTTTTTTTATATTGAAATTTGAAAAATTCAATTTGAGTAACATTACTCGTAGTTATAGCACTAAATTTTAAGCGCCCCACCTAAAAATTGTGATGATCTCATAAAAACTGATAATGATCAATAGTTACGGATCAATACCTTTGAGTAATATACAAATATTAAAAAACATTACCAAATTTAATATTGAATAAGTCCTTAAGATAGGAAAGAATTAAAGATCAATATCAATTTGATGATATAGAATTTAGTGTCATTATCAATTTGGTAGATTCTTGTAAACGAACGGAACCGAGTGGAATTTATTTCAGCAATCTTTTAATTTGAAAAAAAAAATCAAGATAAAAACCCATTTTTTTAACTATGGAAATGATAAATGATTATTTTCCAATTTTCCATGAACATAAAGAATGAATCATTTCGATTTTACTGCTCTGGTGTATAATTATGTTTTCTGATGCTGATAACATCAACTACCAAAAAATTCCAATTTACTATTCATAACAAAACTATAATCAAACGTACAGAACCATGTAGCATAAAATTAGAAGAAAAATGTATTAAATCGATTAGATTCTTCTAATCGTAAATAATTAATAAAAAATGTAACATCGCGTCGGTTTGAATTAACTATTTCTGTAATAATTAATAATAAAAATGACTGTGTAATTAACTATTTACCCACCCCTTTGCATCTTTAAATCTAAATTAAAAAATTGTTGATTTTTCCCTGCGTACATTTTCATAAATTCCGATTCTCGCGAGTTCATCTTTGAATTTTTGATGAGTCTAAAAATTAATTTCGCGCTTTCTGCGAGAACCACGAATCTCTCTCGCTCTCGAATATTTTCCTTGCCATTACCTCCCCCTTTACACCGTCACGTCACGTAAAGAGGGCTCTGGGAATATTTTCTTTATGCAGTCTAATAGAAATAAAAAGTGCGGCCATCTCCTCGAGCGATTTCTTCGAGACGCGCCGTCGTCTCATTGGACGAGAAAACTCTCACGGAAAATTGATTTTCGTGACGTCAGAATGAGACGGAACGACACACGATAAGTGCACCCCAACCCCCGTTTTCCAAGGAGAACACAACAAAATGATCTTTTATGAAGAAAAATCGCCATTTTTGCCCAATTAATGTTAATTTTTTCATGGCATTTTTTTTGTTTCACGAAAAGGGTTGAGGTCTGGGACGGAAACGACGCTTGACGTCGGCTCTTTCGCACACTATTTTATCGTTTCAGCTGTTTCCAGGCAACCGACGATACGCTTCGGTCGTAGTCATGACGACACGCGCCGGCCTGAAACTGAAACGCGACCCTGTCCCTGAATATTTCAGCTTTTTCAGAAAGAAAATTAGTGGAAAATTTTCCGAAATTGGAACAAAACAAAGTCATGTCGTGACAACTTGACAAATTTTATATCATTTTGTTCGTCTCAGTGAGACAAATCAAATGCACTAAAAAAAAAATCAAAAAGTCCACACACTTTGAACTAAATTTTTTTTTTTCTAGTTTGAATGAATTTAGAATACTTTAACTTTAAAAAATTATTACTCAATAACTATTACGCCAATTTCCGATTTCTTACATAAAATGTAAATAAGACATTTTTTGCTTAAAAATGGTCAATTGCACCTTCTTTGTTCTAATTAGAATAAACAAAAACTGTTTCTTTACTTAAAACAAATAAATAGTTACTGTGTACTAATTAAAGCAAATAAAGAGTTTTTTGTTGTAAAAATGACTACTGATCATTGTGCAAAAAGGATCTGTTTTTAAGTCTTTTTCTTTTTTAACTTTTTCTTTTATCCCGATTTTTGTCTCCTTTCTTTGTTTTTCCTCAAAATCATTAAATCATTTCTCTCTGTTTCACTTTCTTGCTTCCTGTTTTTATTTCTTTGTTCCGTCTCAGAAATTATACTTTTTTTCACGCTGTTCTTCACGTTTATCGATTTTGCGCTCTTTCTGTCTCTTTTTAGGTCAGTCTTATTTTTCAATGTTTTTTTTTCTTGTCTTTCTTTAAGTTTTTGTTTATTACTTTTTTTACTTTTAAAAGTTTTAATTTAGAAGAAAATAAAATAAAATTTAATAAAATCAATAGCAATGTTATAGTTTATCACATCGCAAATCTACAAAAAGAACCAAGAAACAGTAAAAACTATAAAAATAAGCGACATCACCACCAAAAAAGTGAAACACTTATTTGTATAATATTCAAAATCGAACAAAGTCTGTCTTTTCTTTCCTTTTTTTTCTTTATTTCTTTTATCATTTATTCTTTTTGTTTCATCCTTCCCTTTACGTAAAACTTCTTTTCTCTTTACATCTGTCTGATTTTTATTTTTCTACTTTTCTTTTACTGTTTTGCCTTTTGTTTTTATTTCTTTTCCCTTCTCAATAACTACAGTTTCACTTTTACACTGTATACTTTGAACATCTTTCTATCTATTTTTAAGTCTTTTTCTTCTTTTAACTTTTTCTGCATCACTTTCTTTTTATCATGATTTTTGTCTCCTTTGTTTGTTTTTCCTCAAAATCATTAAATCAATTATATCACTATTTATTCTCTCTTTTCTCTGTTTCACTTTTTTGCTTTTTGCTTTTAATTCTTTGTTCCGTCTCAAAAATTTTACCTTTTTTCAGGCTGTTCTCCCCGTTTATCGGTTTTGCGCTCTTTCGGTCTCTTTTTAAGTCAATCAGCATTCAACATCAGTAGAAAGTGATGAAAAAGCATTTGCTGAAAACATTTTCAAAAAAAAGTTTAGAAAGCTAGAACAAAGTGAACAGGTTGGAATCTGAATGGAAAGTCATTTAATTTGAAAAAGGTTTGTTTTTATATTTAAAGCTACTGCTTTAAACTTCTAGATCCTTTTTGCTCAATGATCAGTGATCAT